GCACAAACACTTCTTTTGTCGGCAACAAGAAAAGGGTGAGTGCGCTGGCGATGGGGGCTTTAACGGGGATGCCGTCAGAGAGAATCGTGCCACCATGCAAGAGGAGGACGAGGAGGGGACGCGGCCGAAGAAAATGGTCCATTCGCACACACACACACACACACACACACCGTGCGCGGAGTCAGCCCAGACGGGACAATCCACCTCTCGCTTACATGTCGTCTCCACTCTTCATGCGCATCTCCAAGTCCGAACATGCTTGCCCCTGATGATTTGGAAACCAAACGTGGCCAGCTGAATCAGCTTCCAACCTGGCTATCCCGAAGCGGGCTGAGACCGCATCGATTCGCTTTCCACGCTCAACGCGGAAGTCGATGAGGGCTCTGCCCGACGTCAGTTGTCGTTCGCCCTGTAGGTGTTCAAATGTGATGCTGATGAGGAGCATGATGTATGTAACTGCGTCGTAGCGTTGACCTTGGGCGGTAACCCCTCAATTGACGATGTGGGACGGCACCCTCATCGCAATTGTTTTTGAGAGACCACACGGGCAACGCGGCAGTGCAGCGGCCTGGTTGGGTGGTATCATCGCGCCGCTAGTAACGTTCAACCATGAATGAATTTCTCGGACGAGCTCGCGAAATGGCGCGTTGACTACAGGGTCCCTGGAGGGTCCTCTGCTACGGGTATCATCCCATCCCTGCTGCATGTACCCGACTGCCAGACCGATGCAGACTCACATGATGCCGAATATCGTGATCTTGTTGTAGTGCATGGTGAGAGACTGGTCACTGTTGTGGTGGTCTCGCTTCTCTGGAGCTGACGTGGCCGTCGACTTCCGCATGTGTGTACCCGATGTGTCCCCGCACTGCGCCCGGGCCGCAGAGTGGCATCGAGCCACGCAGGATCACAGAGTATGGAAATGTGTTGCCAAGTGGCTGCTGGTGGTGATCGGGAGTGCAGTGGCGTATTGCCGTGGCGTACACGTTGTAATCGACGTGGCCGTCGACTGGTGCATCATCACGGGTAAACCAGTGGCCTGGCTCGGCTCCACGAAGAAACGTCGGCGCAGTAGGAACCACCGTATTAATCGTCCGCCAAACTGCGCCGTCGAATACCAAAATTAAGAGTCAGAGCATATGGTAGTGAGGCCAGCTCCGCAACCAAGTCGAAAATGTTGTGGCAAGCCGTTATACATGGATCGTCTTAGACGATCCCCATAGCCCAGCAATGCCATAGCGTAGGTAAGGAATGGTGAGAAGGGACGGACGACAAAAAACGCAAGAAGGTGCATGATCAAAGCACGATGCACGTTATTCTGACACGATAGTAGACAGCGAAGCTGTCTAAGCAAATATTGCTGCGCGCCGCTGTGAGTCACGGCCGCAACGGCGGCGGATCGCCCGAAGACGCTCCAAGGGAGCTCCAAGACGGCCCAAGACGCACCCAAGAATGCGCCAGAGGGCCCCAAGACGGTCCCAAGAAGGACCCAAGAGGGTGAACACGAACAGACAAATCGAGCCTTCCGCTCCAAGAGGCCCCCGGAGGCCCCCACGAGGGCCAAAGAAGGCCAGATGAGGCCCCCGAAAGGGCCCTCAGAGGCAAAAACCAGTGATTTGCCGTAGCCATTTCAATATTTGGGGGGTCCTCACCATTTCGAGCTTCCGTCGCTCCAGCACGGCCCAAGAGGCCCCCAAGACTCCCCCGAGACGGCTCAAGAGGCCCCCAGGATCGCCACAAGACGGTCCAGGAGGCCCGCAAGACGGCCCAAGAAGCGCCCAAGAATGCCCAAGAGGGCCTCAAGACCGCCCCAAGAAGGTTCCAAGAGTGGGAACACAAACCAAGCATTCGAGCACTCTGCCCTGAGAGGCCCCCAGCAGGCCCCCCCTTGCCTTCTCGAACAGTTGCCACCCAGACTGCTGCGCGGGTACGGTGGCGGATCTGCCGGAGGCACCTGGATACCACCCGAATATCCGCAAAAAAGAAAACTCATGGCCGCATGGTGCCAAAGACGTGCCTAGACCCCGAGACACTTTCAAATACCCCACCGAATGCCGAGCGGGGGGACGATATTGAATGCACCATGACGACGAAGATGTCACGTGCTTGCCGCTTGCTGCCAGCGCGGCGGCGCGAGCCTGGAAGTGGGCGTAGAATCGCAGAACCTCCAGGGGCGCCCATTGGAGAAGGGGGGAGAAAGAGAGGGGCGAGAAGGGAGGAAGAAGCGGGGAGCAGAGAGAGGAGGGAGCGGGAGGGAGAGGAAGGAAGGAAGGAGGGAGGAAGAAGAAGGGAGGACGACGACGACGACGACGACGACGACGACGACGACGACGACGACGACGACGACGACGACGGCGGTCCGATCAAGATGTTGCCGAGCCCGAGGGCAGCGGCAGGATCTGCGAGGCGGCGCCCAGGTGCCCCCCGCCGCCGCGAGCCCCGCCCGGGCCCGCCACGCCGCGGGGGGCCCCTCGGGCTGTGCACCGCCTCTTGGCGCCTCGAGCCTTCGGAGCCTCGGACCCTCGGAGCCTCGGAGCCTCGGAGCCTCGGAGCCTCGGAGCCTCGGAGCCTCGGATCCTCGATCCGAAGCGACGACGCCGACTCCTCGGAGCTCGGAGCCTCGAGCCGCGAGCCGCGCCCCCCTCGGCACAGGGCGCGGGGCCCGTGCTGGCGGGGCGCCGCCCGGGGGCCGAGCAGCCACAGACCACCACCCGGGATGCGGCGCGCGTGCGGGGCGCCTTCCGCCCGGCCGCAACCCGTCGCCCGCCGTCGCCGTCGCTCCGGAGCGTCGAGGGTCGAGGGTCGGAGGATCGGAGGATCGGAGGATCGCAGCTCTTGGCGGCCCGAGGATCGAGGAACCTCCGGGGGCCTCCAGGGGGCCTCCAGGGGCCTCCCGCGTGGGACCTCCAATCCCTGGAGAACTGAGGGGACCGTCGTCGTCGTCGATGCTGTCGTCGTCGTCGTCGTCGCTCGCCATCGCCATCGCCATCGCCATCGCCGTCGTGGTTTCCGTTGGCAGTCGTCCTCGATGGTGTCAGCCATCCTCGTCGTTGGACACTGCCTGTGAGAAGAGTTGAAGGAGGCAACCCTCCCCAGCGCCCCTGTGCGAATCCCTCTTTTGCCCCACAGCGCACGCGTGAGGAGAACCATTTTTTGGCTTGGTCCCGAGATCCCTGGCCCCCACGAACCGATGCGAAAGACACACAGCCCACACACTGAGCATGTTCTTAGGGTGGAGGGCTTAGGGTGAAATGCACATGGGCTGCTGCACCTCGAAAATCAACTCGTCCTGTGACTAACCATTTGCAGATTCAAGCCTCGAAAATCCATCGAAACGGCATGCCAGATTTCACCCTTTACCCCCCACCCGAAGAAAATGCTCGGACACAGCCGCAGGGACGCCTAAGATGGTCTCAGAAGGTCTTAGAAGCTCCCCAGGGCACCGAACCTAGCAGACGAATTTTTGCCAGAGTTTTGCCGGAGCCGTTTCCGCAACGGCTGGGGGAGCGAAAAGTCAGGCAGCCTGGCAAAACGTTCACCCAGCATTGAGTCACGTGGGCGCTTCGGGAGCAGGGGGCGGCGTGACTCGCCGAAAGCATCTGCGGCAACGCCACCGCACTGCCCACCACAACCGAAATTCCTCCGCCGTGGTGGACGCCAGCTCCGGGGCGGCTGGAAACTTGCCAGGCGCTATGACACAGGGGTCCCCCACAGGGGAAGAAGCTCATCCTACACCGTCCTTCGTCCGCTGATCGCAGACCCTCCAAACTGCGAAAGATTGAAACGACGTACGGCCTGATGGCGCTGGCATTTGTAGGGGAAGAAAACTGCACAAACAGAGACTTTCGGAGTTCCGCGGGATGTCGTGGATCGGCACAGGACCCCCCTCCCTGACGCGCCGAGCGCACCAGGGGCGGCGGCGGAGGCGCCGCTGAGGAAGCCCAGGCGACGATCCAAGAAATCCGCGCGGAGCGCCAAAGGTCTTCTTCTCTTCTTCTCTTCTTCGATGGATGGCGCCGGCATTTGGCACTGAGCTGGATAATCCCGAGGAAAATCTGTGAAGAGGAGGTGGGATGATGGCAAATTCGCTCAAAGTCTGTCCCCAGGCCCCTCCAAGGGGCGAAACTGACTGGCCGTGGCGACAAGGGAGGGCGTTTCTCCCCCTTGCTGCTGGCCAGAACCGGTGCTGGGCCACCTCAGCCCCCAAGCCAGCTCCGATCACCACACAACTATCATCAGCCACCCTGCCCTGCGGAGGCGTGCATCAATCTGACAGGCCATCCCCCCCCCCCCTCCGCCTGCTTGTCGTGCTTCAGCCAGGCGGGGGAGTTCCGCGGATGGACCATGTTCTTCGGAATCCCGGCGATCCGCTCCTCCTTCGCGCGCCGCCTCTGCACTCCCAGACCTCCAGCAAATTGATTGTTTTCTAAAACCACCCCAACATAAGCTTTCGAAGCTCCGCGCAGGGGTGTGTAGAAATAAGCCTGGGGAAGCACGCGGGCCCTGCCACTGGGGCCACCTTCGGTAGAGCTCCCGATGGGGCCACAAAACCTGTGAGGAGTGTTCCGACATGTGCCTAGTGGCACCTATGGACCCTGCCGCTGGGGCCTTCGGTGGAGCTCCCTTATGGGGCCACGAAACGTGTGAGGGGTGTGCAGACACGTGTCTGGGGAATCGCATGCGGGCCCGCCCTGTGGGGCCGTCGATGGAGCCCCCACGTGGGGCCAAGGAACGGCGTCAGGGCTGCGTCGCGGTGGGCGGGGAGCCGCCTGCGGGCTCTGCCGCTGGGGCCGTCGGTGGATCTCCCCAAGGGGGCCACGAACCGCGTGACGGGTGTCCGCCCGCGGGGCCCCGCGCTGGGGCCTTCGGTGGCGCTCTCTGTGGGGCCACGAGATGTGTTCGGGTAGGGGGCCACGTGCGAAGCCTACCCCCACCCCCCACGATTTCTGAGGGGGAGGGTGGGGTTCGCTTCGCTCGGGAGCTCCCGAACGAAGGGAACCCCACCCTCCCCCTCAGAAATCGTCGGGGGTAGGGGTAGGATTCGCATATGGTCCCCTATCGGGACGACCGACATGGGTACGGAAAGAATGGATACAAAGACCGACAGCAGTTCTTGCTCATTTTGAACACGATTCGCTATCGGCGTCGCCGCGGATTGTGTGCATGTGAGACAGAAGGCCGCCTGCCAAACAGCGGCCGCTGTTCGTTCGGGACAACATTTGCTGTTGGGCTTTGTGCCCATTGTTTCCGGGCCCATTTCGGGCGTCCAAATGTGTGGGTGCGTCGAAATGAGCGGGGAGCCGCATGCGGGCCCTGCCGCTAGGACCTTCGGTGGCGCTCCCCCTGGGGCCGTGAAACGTGTGAGGGGTGAACTGAAACAGGAACGTGCGGAGGTCTCCGATGCACGGGTGGGAGGAGAGGAGGAGGGAGCAGGAGGAGGTAGGAGGAAGGAAACGCGGAGCGTTCTCTCTTCAAAACCCGTCCAAACGAGGACCCAACACCAGAAGATGGTCGGGACAAAGAAGGAGCCCGGGGCGAAGCAGTGCCCTCGGCGAGGAGATCGAGACCTCCAGGGCACGCAAATTGACAAATCAAAACAAAAACAGAACCAAAAAAACGAGCGACGCGTAGATCCCAACATATACGCCTCAATTCGTGGCACGTCCCGCTGCGAGTGTCTAGCCGTGACTGTCTGGGTACGAGAGCGGGTCCGAGTGGACGACCAGTGCGACGACGACGACGACGACGACGACGACGACGACGACATCGGCGGCGGCGGCGGGTACGATGAGGGACAGCGACGGCGACAACTCACAAATAGACAGGAGCGAGTCCGAGTGGACAACGAGTGCGACGACGACGACGACGACGGCGACGACGGCGGCAGCTACGATGAGGGACAGCGACGGCGACGACGACGACGAAGACTCACAAGCAGACAGGCGGTGAGAGGGCCCCCTCCTTCACCTCTACTTCCTCGTACTACTCGTCGTACTCCGTCCCTTCTCTTCCTCCCTCCTCCCTTCTCCCTCTTGCTGCGTCCTCCTTCCTCCTCCGTCCTCCCTCCTCCGTCCTGGTGGCCGTCCTTCTCCCTGTATCGAAGTGGCACGGGACTCTGAATGGACAGGAGTCCGAGGTGCGAAGCCGAGCGCCTCGCTCGATATATCCCCACGATCTGGCCGCCAGCGGTGCTGAAGACGGTGCCTCACTCGAGACATCCTCGCAATCTGCTCTGACAGCACTGACTTCCAAGCCACCAAACTAGCAAACCGCCTGAGACCTCCCCACAACCTGGCCGCGAACGGGGAGTGTCCTACCCACTGGAGGCTCCCTTGGGGTGCCCAAATGCCACACCTGCTATATCGCGGTGAACAATGGACCACCAAAAAAAGGTCGGGGCGCCGGAATAAGCAAACCGCCTGGGACATCCCAACAATCTGGCCACGAACGGGGGGGGGGTTACCCTCTGGCGCCTCCCCCTTGGGATGCCCAACTGCCACGCCTCCTGTATCGCAGTGAGTACTGTACCACCAACGGACAGGAGTGCGAGAATCTAAGTGTAAAGGAGTCGTAGTGCGAGTCAGTCTGGGTAGAAGTAGGTCTGAGTGGCAGTGGATATGTGCAGGAGTAGGTACGAGTATGAGTGAGTCTGAGTGTGAGTGAGTCTGAGTGTGAGTGAGTCGTAGCATGAATATGCATGTATATGAGTGCACACTAATGCTAGTGAGTATGAGTATGAATGAACGACGTGTGATGAAACGTCATGGAGAGAGAAGAAGGGGAGGGGAGTATATGAGAAGGCGGAGGCGCCACAGCAACAACAAGTGCCAAGCTTGGGATATGTGGGCAAGCATGCCGAGTGCATGAGCGTGTAACCATTCGTGGTCTCATGTGCACGCATGCGCAAGGGGAACGCTACGCTTGAAGCACGCACGCGAAATACCCACCAAGAGTACATTGGGTCGCCTGCGCTAAAGCACTGAGCACTCGCATGTCCAACCAGCACTTGCCTTCAATCAATCAACCATGAAAAACCAAGGACGCCGACGACTCCACAAGGTGGTAAGAGAGGATGTGCAACTCGCACCAAAAGAGGCGTCACTCCTCGATGTCCAGCTTGGTCTTGTGCTGGTAGTTGGGGTCAACTACTGCCTCAGCGGACTTGCGAACCGCAGCAGCGAGCAATAACAAGCCAGGAGAAATGACAGAGGCGCGGGGTGACACAATGTGGGCGCTCCCACGGGGGTCTCGAGTCAAGAAGCGCGTGAAGGGTGTCGACGTGGACGGGGTGACCACACCGTGCGGGCGCTGCCACTGGAGCCTCGGGTCCTTCGGTGGGGCTCCGTACGGAGCCAGAAACGCGTGATGGGTGTACCGAAGTGCGCGGAATGGCGCCGTGTGGGCGCTGCCACTGGGGCCTTCGGTGGGGTTCGGCCCCCTGTGGGGCCACGAAACGTGGATGGAGTGTGTTGATATTGGCATGGCGACGCCATGCAGGCCCTGCCACTGGGGCCTTCGGTGGGGCTCCCTGTGGGGCCACGAAGCGAGTGCGGGGTGTGCCGAAATGAGCGGGGTGAAGCAATGCGGGCCGTGCCACTGGAGCCTTCGGTGGGGTTCCCACGAGACGCGTGCGGGGTGTGCCGACATGGGCGGGATGGCGCCATGCGGGCGCTGCCAGTAGGGCCTTCGATGGACCTTCCTATCACTACACCGACTTTGCAGACGTGCTGCAGCGAAATTTTGCGTGGATCTGTCAATGCAAGACCCCGAAACGGCGAGTGAAAGACGAAGTGAATTTCACGCGGATTCAATTTAGTCTACACTCCTGGCCCAAAAAATCCGCACTAAATTAGCTTCGAAATCCGGAACGAAACTCTCCATGACAATCCAGGACCATCCCATTGGTTTTCCGAACAAAATCCGCTCTGCGGTTTTGGCGCCATGGCTCCTATTGGGCCACGAAGCGTGAGGTGCGTGCCGAAATGGACACGCGCACGGCTGAGGCAGGGATGGGAGGAGGGAGGGGAGGAGAGGAGTGAGGGAGGAGGGCGCGGGACGTTGTCTTCAAAACGAGGACCCAACGCCACAATATGCTGAGGAATTACACCAAATAGCACGTTTGCTTCTGAAATCCGTCTTGGGCGCACAGCAGGGGCATCTCGAGGATCTTGCAAAGCATCTTAGAACGGAATGTTATTAGAGCCCCTTTCGACTTCCCCATCTTGGGCCCCTGTTGGGGCCTCTCTTGGGGCCTCTCTTGGGGCACTCTTCAACCGACTTAATCCCACCAGCCCTCTGGGCGTAGGTGGTCTAGGGCGTTTCCTCTTCCGACCCCCTTCTTCCCCTTCGGGCAGCGGTTTACCACTGTTCCCTATGAATATACACCCCCTCCCCCAGGCGAATGGGAGCCAACCAAGAACAATGCGGGCACCCCCCCACCATCCCTTGATAAAACAAATACATAACACGCTGTGCCTCCAAATTCGGAGCATGCGCAGCGAACCCGATGCGGCCTCCCCCCACCATCCCTGTCAAAAAATACAGAGTACACTTGGCGGCGGCGGCGGCGGCTGCGGCGGCTGCGGCGGGGGGCAGCGGCTGCGGCGGCTGCGGCGGTGGCGGCGGCGGTGGCGGCGGCGGCGGCGGGGGCGGCGGCGGTGGCGCGGCGGCGGCGGCGGTGGCGGCGGCGGCGGCGGCAGCGGTGGCGGCAGCGGCTGCGGCGGCAGCGGCTGCGGCGGCGGCGATTCGGCAGCGGGGGCGGCGGCGGCGGCGGCGCGGCGGCGGCGGAGGTGGGCGGCGGCGGCGGCGGCGGAGGCGGCGGCGGCGGCGGCGGATTCGCCCCCAGTAGCTGCCCATCCAAAGACGACTGCTGAATATGCTGCGGCTTGGCCCAGGCTCGGGTGCTACGTATGTGTTCGAAGGGCGGGTGCAGACGGCTTGCAAGCGGGGAGGGAGTCTTGATCCCTCTTCCAACCCCCGCCCCTGTACCTGGACAGGGGGGGCCGCGACGCGTTGGAGCGTCCAAGTTGACCCAAAATGGTTCGGAGAACGGAGGAGGGCGGAGGAGGGCAGAGGAGGAGGAGGAGGAGGAGGAGGAGGAGGAGGACGGAGGAGGACGGAGGAGGACGGAGGAGGAGGAAGGAGGAGGAGGAGGAGGACGAGGACGAGGACGAGAGGAGAGGAGGAGGAGGAGGAGGAGGAGGAGGAGGAGGGAGGAGGAGGAGGAGGAGAAGGAGGAAGAGGAGGAGGAAGAGGGGAAGGAGGAGGAGGAGGAAAGGAGGAGGAGCCCGGGGGGCCTCCTGGGGAGTATCGGGGTGGCGTCTTGGACCCCAGGTGGGGGCCCGTCGGCGGCCCCCGTGAGGCTGCTTCTGGTGCCAGACGCTGCGGATCCAGGCTCTCCGTGGCCTGCCTCCAGAGCCCCATACGGTGATGGCATTGGATAAGGAAACCTTCGATAAGGAATCCAGGGTCTGGAAGCCCGTGGAACGCCAATCGTGGATTGGCAATGGATATCACCGCTGGATATCACCGCCGCCCTCATCACATAAGGAACCCTGCAGGGTCTGGAGCCTCCTGGGCACGTTTCGTAACCAACGCCCCCACCGTATCCCCCTGCCTCGAGGCTTCACGAAGCAAACCGTTTGATTTTCGCTGTCGCTGTGGCTCTCTCCTGTTGGTTTCGGGTGGCTATCGCTGTCGCGTTTTCTCGGTCTCCTGGGGGCTCGAGGAGCTCAAGACGTCCCCAGACCGGCCCAAGACGGACCAAGAAGATGGCCCCAACATCTTGAAAAATCCCTTGCGACACCCAGAGAGATCCTAAGGCCCCCCAAGAGAGTCTCCACAAGGATTTTGTTGTGTGGTACTCCAACTAGGTTTCCGCGATCTCGTCACTTGGGCATCTGAGCTCAAAACGGTCCAAGAGGCCCCTCTCACTGGCCCAGGATGGGCTTAGAGAGCCCCAAAACGGCCCAATGCCGCACCACGACAGCCCAAAGGGCCTCTGAATTATTGACGCTGCGCCTCCGTCGTTGCGGCCTCTCCCCCTCCTCGGGCACGGTAGCGCTCTCCGCCCCTGCGCTGGCCTCGCGCGGGGGGCCCGCCTGCGTGCGGACGTGTAACTCCAAGGTTGAGCTGCTCTGGGGCTAGAACTGCTGCGAAGGGGAAGAAGAGGGAGAAAATAATAATAAAAAAAAAAAAAAAAAACTTGCGACGTACCCAACCCCTGCGCAATGCGGGGCATGAGTAGCTTGGGAGACGTTATACGGAGGTGATGAAAAAACGCGCGCGATACACAGTCTTCCGTGCGGTGTCTACGACGCTACCCCTGGCCAGGCTCCCTGGTGCAGTCGCCCCCTGGGGCCTGGTCCATACTCGCCTCGCTGCCCAAGGCTGGCGTCGATCTTAGGGTTTACGAGATGTGTCGCGGAGTGGTGCAGCCTTCCAGCTGACACCGTGTTTCCCCGGCGCCCTGTCCCCGCCTACTTGGCATGTTCCGCGGCGCAGCCGCGGCCCTGGCCCTTGGCGCCCTGCGGCGACATGGTCAGTCTGTACCTGGTCACCCCGGCCACGGTGCCTGAGCTCGAATGCGGGGTTTCCTGCTCTCCGTTCCTGGTGGCGCACCGTTCTCTGGATTCCCGGCAGTGGAAGCGCCCTCGCCAGTCTGATGCGTGGTCGCAGGTACAGAGCCGATCAGGCGCTCCTGGCGTGCAGGACCTAATTCCATATTTGGCATATTTCTGCCTCAGACTTGCAAGTTGCATCAGCTTCCCTGGGCGTTGCAGACCACCCAGCCAGTTCCACCTGCAGCTGCCCCTCAGCCGCCGCTTCTGAGTGCTGGCCCGGCCGTCTTGCGCGTCGCTCAGTAGCTAATTAGGCTGGCCCGTGCCCCGGACCCCCCTGTCGGCGACAGCTTCACGCGTCTGCCCGCGACCAAAAAAGCGTGTCCCCACCAGCCCAGGTGAATTGCACGTTGACCAGCTCTGGCTAGAATGCTTGCGTTTTCCTGGCCTCTGGTCCTCAGACACCGCCACAGCCTGGCCGTGTCTGCAGCTATGGTGGGACGCTCCCTTACGTGGATTGCTCGGGAGTGGTTCAGCCTTCTTGTTCGGCCCTGTGAAGTTGTCTCTGTTGACATGCAGCACTAATACGCTGGACTGTTCGCGCAGCCCCGCGTTGTGCCACGTTCTGTGGCACGTCTACCTCTGGTGCCTGGCGCGACAAGGTACACTTCTTTCGTTTTCCCGGTGGTCTCGCCTCTGGGATGGCTGCACGTCGGCCGCCTGGCTCTCCCGGCAGCTCCTGCAGCCTGCCTTGAGCCCCCGGCGCCACTCAGCATCCCTCGGCGGCAGCTTCGGCAGCCGTGAGTGCGCTCGCTGGGTAATTAGGCTCCGCCCGTAGCCCGGGTCCACCTTCGACGCCGCCTGCGCCTTCGCTTGCGGCTGCGACCAAAAAACTATCCCCACCAGCGCATCCAAAAGCGCTGCCCAGGGAAGTTGAGGTGATCAGGGAAGCGGGGGAGCATGCAAAAGAACAAAGGGCGGGGGAAGCCGCCATGTACCCCAAGAGGGGGAGGATGTAGGAGGAGTCGTCGTTGTCGGAGTAGGGGGAAGAAACGGTGGATGAGGTGGAGGAGGACGAGGAGGAGGAGGTTCAGGGACGCGCTCTGCGCAGTCCTCTGAGCCAGTTCTCCGCGTTGTGTGCTAGGCTGCTGATTGAAAGCGCCGTTGACGATCCCGCCGAGTGCGGCTCCCGAGGTGGAGGCCGCGGGCAGCGGAAATGATAGCAGAAGCCACCGTTTGAGCGCTCTTGGAGCGCTCTTGGGGCCGTCTTGGAGCTCCCTTGAGCCTCTCTTGGGGCCCTCTGGGCCATCTTGGAACCAGCTAGGCCGGATAGCCACTGGATGCGAAAAAACGAGAAAGCAACAACCATTGATTTTCCTCAGGTGTAAGGAAAGATGTTGGCCTTTTCGGGCCGTCCTTGGGGAGCTCTCTGGCAATTTGGAGCCGTCATGGTACGGTCTTGGGGCCTCTTGGAGCATCTTGGGTGCCATCTTGAGACATCTTGAGCTGTCTTGAGCCATCTTGGAGGTCGTCTTGGGCTCTCCGAGGCGCTCTTCACACACACACACACACACACACACACACACACACACACGCACGCACGCACGCACGCACGCACGCACACACACACACACACACACACACACACACACACACACACACACACACACACACACACACACACACACACACACACACACACACGCACACAACAAACACACACACACACACACACACACACACACAACACACAACACACACACACACACAACACACACACACACACACACAAAACACACACACACACACTTATCCCGTCGGCGGAAAAGCATTGGTAGGGCATACGGTAGGCATACGACTGCGAATTAAGCCGCAATGCACGGGGGTGAGACGAGGAACGCCCAGCGGGGGCAAGAGGGAGACCGAAGCTGGGCCCGCTCAGAG